TAAAAAGTTTTCATTAAGTTTAATAAAGATAAGAGCAAGGTCTTACCTTAAATATTAAAAAAAAAAAAAAAAAAAAAAAAAAAAAAAGATTTTCTGGTCTTATTGAAACCCGATTAGGAAATCGGCTAAGCCAACTAAGCTGACCAAAATTTATTGGCCAAGCTTAGCCAATAAATTTTGATTGGCCACATTCACTACCGATAAATAATATCTAAATTATTTAACTTTTTAAGTTGCTTATTATATAAAATTTCTTCCCGAATCTGGCTTATATCAAAAACTTTTTTATACTAAAAAATAATATAAAATATAATTAATTAAATTAATTAAATATAGCTATAAATATAAGTAGTAATAAATATTACCCCAAGATGACTTCTTCGTTTGGTATGTATAAAATTTATAAAGGAAAATAATCTCTCAACAGAAGCTGAGTTTGTAGAAATTGAAAATATTCTTCGTGCAATAAAAGCTAATTCAGGAGCCATTCCTGATACACCATCCCAAAAATCTAAAACAGATTCATATTGTTGAAATATAGAACAAGTAAAAGGATATCATTTACATCTATAATTTTCAAGTTCCTGAAGCAATGTAATAAGTTCTTTTTTAGACCAGGAATAGTAATAGTAATTTAACCATTTTCCAAAATGAGTATAAGTAAGGTTTTTAATTTGTGGATTAAATTTATCTTCACGATAAATTGGATTTAGCAAAAAGCTTAAAAGAAGAAGAGGTTGTTCTCAAGTAGACCACCTTGTTTCTAATTGTGAAATCATATTTTCAGAAAAACTCAATATCAGGTAAATTTTTTACAATATATATAAAATATGCAAAACAATGAACAACTTGATAAAGATATGCTTTATCACGTTGTAAAAGATTAAGTGAACCACAAAAAGGTAAAAAAATATCTTGCAAAATATAAAAATTTTGCCAAAAAGTATCATTATTAATAATATTTTTAATATCTTGTTTTAAAGAAAGACCTCTATTTAAAACCAATATTTTATTTTTTGTAGCAAGTATTTAAATAAATAAATATATGTAAATATAATTTAGTTAAATTATTTTTTATTTTTTTTAATACATAGTTATTTTTAACAACTATTTATCTATTATCCAACAAACTCATATGATTATGAAAAACTTTCTTACTGTTATTTTTTTCATGTATTATGATATAATTATGTTTTTCTAATATTTAAAAAAAAAAACTCAGTGAGTGACTCTCTACCAATCATAATCATAAATTGTCAGATAACACTATTATTGGGCAAATTTGTGAATAATAGTAATTTGGCTCAACCAGACAAATGATTGGCTTACAAGTGCTGCTTCGTAGCACTTGACAGCCAATATCATTTGTTCGGTTGAGCCAAATTGCAACCATTATTCACAAATTTTTGCCCAATAATATATACATATTGTATAGAATTAGATAAATAGGTTGTTGAGAGAGTAACTATAAAAAATTAAACATAAATTTAAATAATTTATTTACTTTAAGAGCTTCTTTGGTGCAAAGTATTGAGTTAAAGCAAAAATAATAAGAATTCCAGCGAGTTACTGCTGGACTTATAAGAACATAATAGGTTTTATAAATTAATTTTTGCTCATTACATAAATGACCAGTAAAATATAATAAATGATGAAAAAAGCTAACAAGCTTAATTGTATCTTGAGCTGTTTTATAAAATATTTCTGAAGATTTAAATATATCTGCAACACATAAATTAACCTAATGAGCGAAACAAGGTAAAAATATTTTATCAAGATATTTAGTTGTAATTGTCATCTAATAAATAATTAAGTTTAAATTAAAATAAGTAATAAATTTAAATTTATAAATTAAATATTTAATACAACCTTGCCACTGCTATTTCTCCTGCAGAATCTGTTACTACATTATTTATTAAAATATTTTTTATATTAGTCTCAGTAAAAATAGTTTTAATATGTTTAACTATTTCTGCTATATAAGTATATTCACTACTAATATTAATTGCTCTTCAAATTAAAGAAATGCCAGAAAAAAGTATTAGTGTACTACCAAGCAAAGATTGATTACAGATATTTTCCAACTATCAAGTGCAAGAGTAACACCAATTTGATCATTAGAGACCAAATCAATTATTTGCTGTTTTGATTTTTTTGTAGCTTTTTTAAAAATTGAGTTTGATAATTTTTTTCGATTAGGCAATTTTAAACTAGATGCTATAAATTCAAAAAATTCTTTGGTTTCTTTATTTTCTGTTCA